TCNAAACTTAATATAGACCTATAATATATAAAATGTAAATAATGTATATAGAATGTAAATAATGTATATATATATATAAAGCAAATAATGTATATAATGTAAAAAATGCCTGAAGGCCTTTGTCGCTCTGGCTTAAAGAAATTGTTACTTAGAATTAATTTTTTGGTAACAATAAATAAATAAATAAATAAATCAACTTATAATCACGAAAACTGCAGTTGACGCAGTAGTCGCGAATAACGGGATACATGAGATTTGCGATTGCACTACAAGCCAAATTTATTGATTTTATTCAATTTTTTATGGTTTATGTGTGAGGCATTTGATTGAAAACGGTCTTAAGCATTTGAGTCAATCACTAACTAAGATAATTTAACATTTTATGTAGACAACACTTAACTTAACGTGCGTGCACATACACATACACATACACATTCACACATACACACACACACAGTGAACTCACCCACGCACGCGCGCTAGTAATACAGTAAATATAATACAAAGAAGTAGAACATTTTGGTCAAGAGGAAATGTCTTAATCTCTAGAGTGGCGCTGGAGCAGCCTGGGGCGGTGCCTGTGCTGTCGATAGGCTCGTTATTGTTGCTGCTGCTGCTGCTGCTGGCACTATTTGACCATTGGCCGTATAATTAAGCAGAGCACTCTGCAGTGTGGAGAGGCGACGCTCCAGCGCCGATATCTTTGCCAAGTACTTTTCGCAATTCTCGCAGTCGGCGACAGCGAATGCCGAATTGCCAACGGGAACGACGGCTGTGAGGGAGGTGGAGCTGCTCTGTTTGGTCATGGCCGCAATGAGCGCAGTATTCTGTTGTTTGAGCTCATTGTTCTGGCCCAGCAGCTCCTCGCAGAGGGCACAAGTGGAGGCGCGCAGATCGGCAAGCGCCTGCTCTTTGGCCCGCAGGCTTTTCATAAGCGAACGATTCTCTTTTTTGAAATCGAGCAGCTTTTGCTCCAGCTCAAGCAGCTCATCCTCATTGTCTGTGAGGCCGCGTGTTGTGTCCAGACTCTCGCTTAGCTGTTGCATCCCGTTGTTGTTGGCCACCCGGCTCATCGCCTGCAGAATGCTGTCCAGTTTCCTCGAATCCTGATGCTCGATCGAGAGGACCATCGAATCGCCGCTGCTCTCTTTCAATGGCAAATTGCTGTTGCTTGTCAGCCGGCACATGGCCTGCAATATGGTGTCCATTTTCTTGTCCATGGCATGGCCAGTGGCCCGTTGCTCATCCAGATACAGCTCCAGTTTGCTAGAGGGCGTCGCTGGAGATTTATTCGGCTCTAGCTTCTTCGGCAGCGACACTGTGGTGCTCTTTCCTGGCAACGTCTTTTGAGATTTCTTAATGGAGCGTGCCCGGTGTGTGGTGACGCTGTCCTCTGTGGACTGTGGTGATTCACTTTCGCTGTCGTAGGTTTTGGGCATTGTCTCTGGATTGGCAGGTAACTCTGACGTTTCGGAGATCTTATGCTTCAGCGACGGCGCCAACTGCGGCTGAGGCAATGCATTAGATGCGGATGGCGGTTCATTGCTTGATTTGTCAGCCTCATCGATGCGCAACTCCTCGATGGGCAGCCCAAGCTTCATTAAAGCAGCGGTGAACTCCTCCTCATCCTTGGCAACCTCAAAGCGCAGGCTCCAGAAATGCTGCTCATCGTCGTAGAACTGCATATACGATTCACGTAGTATCACATTGGCTGACCCGATACGCGGCGACGAGGACTGTGTCGACTTAGTCAGCAGCAGGGTGCTCAGCAGCTGTGTCCGGCTCTTGTACACGACCAGCTTGGCAGCGCCGGCTCCATTCCGTGAGAGCGCAACGCCCACGCGTCCCACATTATCGCTGCCATTGAATCCATACGCGACCTTGGCCACCACCGTGTTCCAGCTGTCGACTGTCATTACATCACGCTTGTTCCGCGAAATGGATGCAATCATTCCTTTTAGCTTTGGTTGTTGCTGCGGTGCTTGTGTTTGTTGTTGTTGTTCATGCTGCTGCTGTTGTTGTTGTTCATTCTGCTGCTCCTGCTGCTTGGTGGACGACTGTGGCTGATAGCGCAGATTGCTGGACTCGTTTAGCAACGGTTTGTCATCATCCTCAAAGATCTGGCGCAAATTACGTGGGCCATCATTGCTGCAAGGCACAGAGATTAGGCATTTGGATAGTCATTCGACACGATACGGCACGGCTCACCTATGCAGTTTCTCGAAAAAGTCCTGATTATTGTCGTGTCCAAAATCCATTAGAATTTTACTGCTTTTGAGCTCTGCTCTATATAAAATGAAATGAATGCTTCAAAATGTTCAGATTGGACTCAAAAGCCAGATTTCCACAGCAGCGCCTACTATCGTAAGACCAGGGTTGCCACACGTTGCAATTTTATGCCAACGCTGGAGATTTTACGCATTCATTTTTTTTACGTTTTTTTTTTTCTTTACAAAATGATATTAATTACTCAAGAGAAGATTTTAAATTCTAAAAAGATTTATCTTATCTTATTATTCTAAAACTCTTAACAAAATAATAATAAGAGTCCAAAGCTTTCTTTAAACCGCACTCAATTATACAATAATTGAAAAAATAAATCAAAGCATAATGTTTTATTAAAATTAAACATTATTTTTATTTATATTGGTTTGTTGATGCATTCCGAGTTCTTATCGAGGTGGCAGTTATGAGTAAGCTCAAAGTGATCATTTTTCTTGTTACCGTATTTTCGCAGTATTTCTGTTTCGGTAAAAAAAAACATGGTCATTTTTAGTAGCAAATGTTTCAAGACCCGTTATGATTGACTGTTCGTGATTAACGGCTATTTGAATTGCGAGAAAAAGGGGCTTATTGTTAAATGAATGAAAATAATATTGATTATAGGCGTTTTTATTCATAATAACAATGGATATGTATATAAAAATACTATTCCTTACTTAATTTTTTAATTGTAATGGCTACAATGCAATATCAATATTATCATTTTAGCTATCATATTTTCATGGTTTTCTCTTAAGTACGGAAATTACTGGCAGAACTGTTATAAAAACAGACTATAAGACTATATAAAATGTGTAGAAAATTAAATTTAAAGTGACAGATCCAATATATTTGAATGTAAAAGTGCCCTAATTTCGTGATGAAACCTAATGCTGAAACTGTGCGCATGTCACTTTCACCGTCTCCAAATAGAAAAATTATGTATTTTATATAAATGGATCCCTGATTAGTGTTTTCGCATCCCATTGCGCTTTGGCACTGGCAGTGGTGGAAAATTTTCCGTATAAAGATTGAAATCTTCAGAGACAGGCAATGATGGTGCGGGCGGTGGCACCCAATTGTTCTCAACCTGCAAAAAGCAAAATGCAAATTAATTCAGATAAACATATGAAACTGAATTGAACTGAAAGCAATCGGGCTACCTGGCTCATAGTTCTCGTTCCCTGCCTTTCGTACAGGCGCTTACTAGAAGTCGACGGAATCATGTCTGGTGAAAAGAGATCACAATTCTGGACATAGTCTAGTTGCTCCTGCGTCATCTCACTCGGATCGACAATTTCGAAGACAAGCAGTTCATTATCAGTGCGCATATTGACTTCATAGTTATTGGGTTTCAGCCGATTTGGAATTTCACCGTTGCTTGCCATGTTCGCATTGTTGTCCATGTATTCGTTTTTGCTTAAGCTCCCATTGGCCGGGAAGTGTATCGAATTGTTCTCGAGCTGAGCGAGTCCTTTGATAAATCTATCCAGGCCTATATAGTAAGGTGTTAGAGTTGGCTCCATTATGCAAACGTTTGCAGTTGCCGTGATTTGCGATCGATTTGACTGTTTATCTAGAAGAGGAATATATGTATTGTATAAACTTAATTATGATGTATTTTTTGGGAAATCAGGGTGTAATGGTTTTGTTAAATGTAACAAACAGAAGAAGGTGTGGTAGACACCATTAAGAATATATATATACTTGATCGGGTCAACGAGCGGGGTCGATTTAGCTTTGACCTTTTGCCTATTCGTCTGTCCGTCCGTAAGGGTAGAGACTTGAAATTTGTTGCAAAATACACGCAATTTAATGTTATTATCACGATCTACAAGTTATATGTATATCGTTTATCTACAAGAAATAATATTAAACAATGAAAAGCGCGTTCCTCCCGGTTGTGCTTTGTGCGTAAGCGCCCTCGCAATGTGCATATGCGCGTGTGTTGGTGTGCGCATGTGCACAATTCTAAGAATTCTTTTAAGAAGGTACACAGGCACAGAAGAATGAAATGTGCAACTGTTAAATGGGCACTCAATTTGCCCATCGTAAGACTATAAGTGACCGTAGGATAGGGCAGGCTTTATCTTTTGCATATCAGCAGCTTTTGTGGCTATTCCCGGCTAACCTGTATATTTACTAGATGGATATCAAATTAACTGATAGATGGATTCCCGATTGGATAGTTCAAATTCGCTATAACACTCACGTAGTTAGTTAACAGTGGAATTAGATTTCCCGGATATTTATTTGTGTATGAATGAGTTTTTGAATTGTGTACATTTTATTATGATGTTTTTTGTTTTGTTTTGTTTTTTTTATTTTTTTTTCGGTATTTTGATCTTTATAAGTTATACTGTCATTACCTATGCTTGATTACGTTAGCAAAGTTTAAAGAGCGGTATGTGAACAATGTAGCGCAACAGCCGCTGATCGATACATTTTTACAAATTTATCGAAAGCACACATATTTATTTGGCGAACCAATCAATACCAATAT